ATTTATATTTATTTATAATTAGTTATATATATATATACATATATTACATATATATATATATATATATATATATATTTAATATATTATACATACATATTACATATATATATATATATTTATATAGAGAGAGAGAGAGGAGTGTGTTAGAGAGAGAGGAGAGAGGGTGAGGGAGAGCCAGAAGAGAAGAGAGCGATGAGAGATCGAGGGTGAGAGGAGAGAGAGAGAGTGAGGATAGAATAGGGGGGGAATAGGGGTATAGATAGAAATTATACTTATGCTGTATATATAATAAATATATTAATATCTATATATAAATATATAGATTAAATATATATATATATATATTAATATATATAATATATTTGATATATATCTATATTTATATATATAATTATATATTTAAATATCTGTATATATAGCATATGTATGAAATATATGTATAGATAAATATATGTATATATAAATATATGTATATTTTAATATATGTATATATAAATATATTTATATATAAATATCTGTATTTATATATTATGGTTATATAAATAGATGTTTATAAAAATATTGTAATAGATAATATTTGTATATATTAATATATGTATATATAATTATATGTATTATATAATTTAGGGATTATATAATTATTTGTATATTTTATATATGTAGATAGTAAAGATTTGTTATATTATATATTATATGTTTATTTTAATAGTTGTTGAGAGTAAATATTGGATTTTTAATGATTTGTTTAGATAAATATATGATATTGTGTTAATTATTTGGTATATTTAAATATATGTATATATATAGAGAGGTATAGATAAATATATGTATATATGAAATATTGGTATTAGATTAGATTTGGAGGAGAGTATATTAATTGTGACTATATATATAGGTATATTTAAATATAGGGAGAGGTATTGATTTGGATAGATAAAGATTGTATATATATAAAGTTTGGTTGAGAATTATATATATATATTTTTATATATTATTTTTTTATATAAATATTATTATAGATTTAATATATATATATAAATATTTATATATATATATTATATATATATATATTTCTATATATATAGATATATATATAGATAGAATATATATATGTATATATGTATATATGTATATATGTATATATGTATATATGTATATTTAAATATGTAAATTATGTAAATTTGTAATATATTTATAAATATATAATATATAATATTTATATATAAATATATAAATAATATAAATATATAAAATATATATATAAATTAATTTATTATTATATAAATCTTATAAATATTATAAATATATAATTATATAAATATAGAAAATATAAATATTTAAATATTTAAATATTTATATATATAATTATAACTATATAATTTATTATATATAAATATATAAATATTTATTATAAATATATTAATATTTAAATATTTAAATAATTTAAATATTTAAATTATTTAATTATTTAAATATTTAATATATAAAATCTATAAATTTATAAATTTATAAATATATAAATATATAAATATATAAATATATAAATTTATAAATATATAAATATATAAATATATAAATATTTAAATTTTAAAATATATAAATAATATATATATATTAGATATATAGTGATATATATATATATATATAATATATATATATATATAAATATATATAAATATATATAAATATATATAAATATATATATATTTTGTATAAAATATATTTCTTATAGATGTAAAAATATTTATTGAGATATATATGTATAAATATATATATATGTATAAAGATATATATATGTATAAACCATATAAATTTTATAAATTATATAAATATATAACTGTTTTAAAATGTATAATGTATAAATGTATAAATGTTAAATGGTAAGTGTTAAATATATAAATGTATTAAATATGAAATATTGTAAATTATTGAAAATATATATTATATTTATATATTATATATAATTATAATATATATATAAATATTAAATAATATAGAAATATAAATATATTTATAAATATAATTATAGATATAAAATATATATATATATATAAATATAAATATATATATAAATATAAATTTTTATATAAATGATAAATATATATATAAATATAAATAATATATATAAATAGAAATTTATATATAATATAATATTATATTAAATATAAATATATTTATAAATATAAATAATATATATAATAAAAATATATATATCGATATAAATATATATATAGTTATAAATATATATATGATAAATATAAATATTTATATAATATAATATTAATATTTAAATATATATATATTAGAAATATGATTATGATATTAAATATAATTGTATATTATAGTAATTATAATAAATATATATATAATATATATATTAATATATAGATTTATGTATGTATATATTTATGTTATGTATATATTTATGTTGGTATAGTATATATATGATTTATATATTTTGTTATAGATTTATATATTATATATATATTGATTTATTATA